AAGAAAGTAATTCTGTGTTACATTCCTCATCCATCCATTGAACAGCTCTTGTATTTGCATTGACTCTTCTAAATTGTTTTTCATTCCAAGAAGAAAAGACTGTGAATTCATTAAAACAAGATATTATTTCTGGATTATTTTCCTAAAATAGAGCAAAGGACCAGCAAAGCAAAATGCACTCCCAGTGAAGAGTTTTTCATGAAACATTTATTAATAGGAAACTTTTCTCTCTAAGGATATTATTCTTTGTAGAGTATTTTCTTAGTGTGAATAGGCAGTGCAAATATAGAAAAGGAACAGAAGACTTCATATAAGCCATATGATTTTGGAATGAGTTTATTTTATCTTACAGATCACTTTCTTAGGAAAAGATGAAGGTATAAATTAAAAGTCCGTTTACCCAAGTTTGTTGACTAAAGTAGTCTATTGAGATTCCATTAGTTGAATTTTCCCATTTGGAGACCATTTATAAATGATGGTTGGGTCTGGAGATGAGAGATTGTTTGAAGTTGGAATTTAGAGTGACATATGCATTTGCATCTTCATTTGATTATAGAGCAAATATTCTTCTTAGTTTTCCTAGTGGTTTGTTAAATATAATTTTACACAAATTCAATTCCACCTAATTTTTGAATCATTAAAACGAAGGCCCTTTTGCAAGTAATAAGTAAACCAATATGATAAATCCCAAAATCCTCACAATGCTTAAAAATAAGATTTTCAAAACAATTATTTGTGTATTCTAATTGTACAAATTAATTGGTTACTTTCCACACATGCATATATCAGCCTGTGATCATATCCACCCTCCCTTCTACCCTCTGCTGCCTTTACCTCTTCTCCCCACACCTCAGTCCCCTTCCTCTTTCACAATAGTTCCTCTTCCACTTTCAGGTCATGTTTTAGTTTACATATATGAAAGAAAACACATGATGCTCTTCTTCATGTGTCTAGATTCTTTCACTTAACATGATGTTCTAGGCTGGTGGAGTGGCTCAAAGTGTAGGCCCTGAGTTCAAGCCCCAGTACCAAAAAAAAAATAAAAGTGGTGTTCTCCAGTTCCATCCATTTTCCTACAAATGACATAATTTCATTCCTCTTTATGATTAAATGGTATTCCATTGTGTGTGTGTAATATTTTCTTTATGCATTCATTTCTTGACAGGCACCTAGGCTGAATCTATGATTTAGCTATTGTGAATAGTGCCAGAATAAACATGTGTGTGTGGATATCTCTTTTGTATGCTGACTTCATTTCCTTCTGATAAATTCCTGGAAGCAGTATAGCTATGGAAGACTTCCATAACAACTGTACTAATTTACATGCCCATCAGCGTTTATATGTGTTCCTTCCTTCTCATATCCTTACCAGCATTTGGGGTGGGGGTTGAAAATTACGATTCTGACTTTGATGAGATGGAAGTAGTTTTGATTGACATTGCATTTCCCTGATGGCCATTTCTACTTCTTTTGTGAAAGGATTTGTTCAGATCATCTGTTCATTTCTCATTAGATTGTTTGTTCTTTTGGTGGTTTTTATTTCCTTGTATATTCTAAATATTAATCCTCTATCAGATGAACAGGCAGCAAAGATTTTTTTCTCCAGCCCTGTAGATCATCTTTTCATTCTGTTGATTGCCTCCTTTGCTGTGCAGAATATTTTTTTTGCTTTGATTAGATGTATTCCTATTTATCCATTCTTGCTTTTGTTTCTTGTGCCAATGAAATTCTCTTCAGAAAATTCCTACCTGTGCAAAATCTTAAAAGTGTTTCCCTTATGTTTTGTTCCAGCAGTTTTGAAGTTTGGGGCCATAGATTTAGGTCTTTGACCCATTTTGAATTGGCTTTTGTGTAAAAGTGAGAGATATTGGTCTAGTTTCATTCTTCTCCATGTAAATATACAGTTTTCTCTGCACTGTTTGTTGTTGTTAAAGAGACCCTGCTTTCTCCTTTGTATGTTTTTGGCACATTTGTCAAGAATCCATTGGCTGCAGAGGCATTGATTTGTTTATGGGTCTTAATGACAACTTTGTGCCATCAGCAGGCTGTTTTGTCACTATGACTCTGAGGTATTGTGATGCCTCCAGCTTGATTGATTTGGCTATTGGAGGTCGTTTATGTTTCCATAGGAATTTTAGAATTTTTCTAGTTCTGTAAGAATATCATTGGTATTTTGAGTTATCTGTAGATAACTTTTGGTAGTGTAACAATTTTAACAATACTAATTTTTCCAATCCATAAATACGGAGGTCTTTCCATCTTCTAGTGTCTTCTTCAGTTTCTGTCTTTAGTGTTTTGTAACTTCTATTGTAAATGCCATTCTCCTTCTTGTTTATTTTGCTTTATTATTTTACTTTATTAAGGTTATTGTGAATGGGATTCTTTCTTGATTTCTTTCTCCATGAACTCATTATTGGTGTATATAAAAGCTACTGATTCCTTTATATTGATTTTGTTTCCTGCTACTTTGTTCAAAGAGATTTTGTTGGAGTCTTTGGGGTTTTATATCTATGGAATCATGTCACCTGTAAATTGGGATAATTTGATCTCCTCCTTTCCTATATTTATCCCTGCTGTTTTTTTTTTCTCTTTCCTAATTGCTCAGGCCAAACTTTTAAATATTACATTGAATAAGAGTGGTGAAAGTGGGTAACCTCTTCTTGTGTCTGATTTTAGAGGAAATGCTTTCAGGTTTCCCCCTTCAGAATGGTGTTCACTATGGGTTTCCTATTGGAACACGGCCACACTCATTTGTATATTAGTGTCTGCAGCTGTTTTCACACTGCAAAGGCAAAATACAGCAGAGTAACCATTTACACATTGTCCAAAATATCTACAATATTTACTACTGGGCCCTGTACAGAAAAAGGGCATCAGCTACTGCCAATGGATCACATTACTACCTAGTAATCAGAAAGAAGTTAATGCAGAGGTTGCCATTCAAAAAATAGTCTAATAAATAGTCCAAATATTAGGAAATATACATGTTTGCATGCATATATATATATATATATATATATATATATATATATATCACGTCTGTATGTGTTTCAACTTCCTTGTCAATTGATACTATTCATGTTGAACATACTATTTTGCTAACATAATAGCAAAATGAGACATTTTTAAAAAGAAACTTCCCAAATGCGGTTTTAAATTGTGTTCTTTCAGTCTGCTTTCTTTTGGATGTTGGGCAACTTTTTTATTCCTTTGCCACTTGAGAAAATAATCATATTTATCTGAGAATAACTCTTGAGGTGGAAGCTTTCCACGCTTGTAGTTTAATAGGTTAATAGATATTTTTACTTGATTATTTTTCACACCCATACCATGAAGATGCTCACCGGGTTTTATATTGATTGTTCAATGTACTGGCATATATAATGTTAATATTGTGCACTTTTAAATTTAACAGTGCATTAATAAAATAGTCACATTTTAATAATTTGTTTACTTATTGAATTATTGACTTAAATTAGTGGCATAAAGCCAGGAGTTGTGGTACATTCCTGCAATCCCAGCACTTGGGAGACTGAGGCAGAAGGATTGTGAATTTCAGGCCAGCCTGGGCTATGTAGTGAGACCCTGTCTTAAAAAACAATATCATAAATTTGCTGATATATTTAGAGGTTATATAATGAAAGCTTTTTATAGATACTTTTATCCAAGATTTTCTTATTGATTTTCAAGATATTTTCTCCCTTTTTATCTTATTTTAGTTAATCAGTTTTCACTTAAAATTTGTTTCTAACAAGAATTATCTGATTTATAATGAGATTTTTGCAGGGGAGAAAGTAATATTTAAAGTTAAAACATTAAAAATCAAAACACTGACTCAGCAGAAGATACTGTAACTGCTAATTGTGCTGGTACACTCTTACATCACATTTTCCTTTATATTATTTTTAAAATCAGGTAAGTATTAAAATATTTGTTTGTGGTGGGCACATTTTTGTCTACATGTCTTTCCTGCTGCTCTGAAGTTATGACCTTAAGGAAGGCATGGGCATGCCATGTTCACATTCCTATTTACACACATGGTGCTGAGTTCGCATGGCAACATGTGTTACAGTCACTCATCTGAGCTCACTACGTTCATTTTTCCCACCTTGTAAGTGTGTAGTACCTGATGGAGATTTTGTTTTTCCATTATATGTATTTATGAGAAATGTAATATTCCTATAAAGTCGCTTAATAAAAATCATAAATATATTTTTCAAATTCTTTTTTTTTTTTTGTATGTGCTAGGATTTGCTAACTGAATTTCATTCTTATTGCAACTAAAGATTTCAAATATTTTCTTGATACCTATACTTGATTTGTTTTGAGGCAGCATCAGTTCGGGGCTTTGGCCTCAATTTGTAATGGGCTTACCATTTCACTCTCCCGCCTCCTTACATTCTTGTTTATTTTTTCTGGATTGAAATGAGTAATACTTTGTGCCTTTACTGGCATGGTATGTCATCAGGAATGTTGTTTCAAAAGCCTCTTTCATAATCCTTCTTCTAGAAACTTTAATTTCAAAAGTTCTTGGTAACTGGATCTACATGTATACTAGGACAATCTTCTTAATGAAATTCTTAAACTCTTTTTTTGAAGCCAGTTAAACTGACAACTTTATTATGAGTAAATATATTAAATCATGAAGAATTAAAAAACAAAATTCTTATTATTTTTGTCAAATTTGTGTGCTATCAAATTCTTTTGGACACAGATGTACTAAAAATTGTTTTCTACCTGGTTTAGAAGATATGTTGTCTTCTCTTTAAATTCATTTACATTCTATTCAGAACAAAATCATTTTGCATACCAGATAATCATGCTTTTGTTTACCAAATTGCATACTTTAAATAAATCTAAAAAATATGGCATTTTATTTATATGTTACTTGGAGCGTAAGTAATGTTTCACCATAGCATTTCTTCTTTTATACCTCCTGTAAGTAGGACTCAGAAATAAGAACTGAACATTAATTGTACGGGTTTTTTTCTACTTGATAGGTGCTATGGATATAGAGGAGCGAAATCGCCAAATGAAAATTAACAAATACAAACAGGTAGCCGGATCAGATCCCAGACTGGAACAAGATTACCATTTGAAGGCAAGACATTTTTCTTTTTAAAAGTTGTAAAATACTCAATCCTATGAAACCGCTAGATTCTTTTAAAACCCTGAATACATATTAGTAAAGCATAAATGTATAGTGCAATGGTCCCATGATATTAAGTGCTAAAATTTATAGTATGTTTATATATCAGTTTTTAGAAATAGACTTTACTTAAAAGAAACCACATCATTATATAATATTAGAGATTGAAATGCTGAAGAGGGAATCTTTTAGATTTTTGTCATTTTATTAAAACCTATAACCCCTCAAAAATTTTAAGAATTCATATTATCTTCTTATGATTTTCTTATAGGTTTTTCCTACTTTATAGTTTTTAAATTAAATCTGGTTTATTGCTTAGTTATTGAAACAAAATACATACTTGTGAAGTATTGTTAGGACTTCAAAGGATCTTATAGTAAGAAAAATTTTCAACTATTTTTTGGGAATAAGTTGAGTTATGAGGTCTACCAAGGGAGGAAATAAAGAATATTATTTCATTCCTCTTGCTTTTCTTAACTTTATGTATTTAAGACATTTTAGGTTCATAATATTATTGTATGTCATGAGTATCATGTATACTATACGAGTACTACATTATACTCTCAATTATATTGTCAATACAGAAAAGAATATCAGAGAAAATAAAGCAAGGAAAAAAAGGATAACACCAGAAGTAAAGTTTGAATGAAATGCATAGTGGGAGATCCTACACACCTGCTACATGTGGGGTGTATATTTTCCACCCTGAACTTTAACCAGTAGCAAGGTCAGGGCTGGGGCTCAGACAGTGACAGAGCACTTGCCAAGCATTTTTTGCTCTCAATCCATAGCACCACAAAAATAAATATATAAGTAAAATCAAAATAAATAAGCAGCAAAGGCAGAAAGGGAAAATGGATTAACTGTGTTGTTTACATTGCTCCTGCAATATAGTTAGTTCCATACAAGCAATAGCAATGATTCTTTTCACAGATACCTGACAGAAATTTACTACAGGGGGATGGGCAAAAGAAAATATTATAAGCATAGCTAAGGATTTTTTTCCCCCAAAACTCAAGTTTTTATTCCACTCCTACTTATGTGAAAATGAATGTTTAAGACCTCAAATTTTTATAGCTTTTGACACCAATCATTTTAGGTTGGAGAATAAAATGAAGTTTGTTAAAGGACTAATTATACTAGGCATTGTAAGTCACAGGCATTTTCTGAAGCAGTCGCTTTGGAAGTGCAGCTTCCACATGACCTGCAGAGGTTTAGAAATGTAGCTGTCTGTGCTCCTTCCAGAGTGACAGAATCAAAACTCTGTGGTTGAGCTCCCTATGGGTTAGCCTACTTTGGGGCATTCTGATATAACCTAACGTTTAAAAGCTACTTCTCTAAGGCAAACTGATTAAAAATTTTAGTTTTAAGTAGTTGAATGAGTTAAATTACTTAATTAGGTTTTTGGCTAGAAGCCAGGGATAAATAATGTTTTAAAAACATGGAGATTTTATTTGAAAGTTAAATCAACTGACACCTTTATAGTTTTTAATAAATCCTATTAGTACATAACAATAACCTACAATCCCATTTTCTATTGCTAAGATTTTGTACGCAGTTGACTCCAAAATCCAATCAAATCATTAAGGTACAACTTTTTCAAGGAGTTCAAAACCCAATTCTATTTTGTACCACTGTAAATTATTTTCTGATGTGGAATTATCTTCGTGGGGTTGTTTATCTCCTCATCATCCCTAGGCTGATATCTCTCTCTCTCTCTCTCTCTCTCACTTTCTCTCTTTCATTTGAACCAAAGAGAAAATTATAGAAGAATCTTCTTCAGTCGAGATTAAGTAATTATTAATTTCCATACTAACAGTTCCTTAGATTAAAATTTTCAACATCATCCCTCTCTTTTTGATGAGGGATACTTAGCTTATATTTCCATTCCTTCCTTCCTTATTTTGATTAAAAGTTACACAGCTTGCCAGTGAAGTATATGTATAATACATTATATTAAATGTAAATTAAATTAAATGCTCAATTACAAAGCATTTTACAAATGACAGAACTGTTATAAAATATAGAAAGATTAAACAATCTAATCAAGTTCACATAGTAGCTTAGTTTCTGTGTCATGGAAATATTTTCTATGGCTAATTTCAGTGTTTCAAATTTGAGCTGAGATGAAATCCAAATAGAATCCCAATCCATATAGAATGTGTGCTATAATTGGAGCTGTCTTTTTGAAGTTTCAGTGATGTGACTACAGATCTCTACCTGAAATTTAATTGACTATTAGGCTTGTTCTCAAAAGACTACACTAAATGTCATTGCCTGTCTGAATTTCTCAACTCATGCACATATTGTTGTAAATAACTTAATTTTTTAAATCTTAGTAACTCTTTTTTAAAAAACCTGTAGAACAATGCCTAAGTTATTGTCTTTCTAAGGATTTTTTCCTCTCTGAGAGCAGAGAGAATTTTTTTAAAAGAGCAGCAACAGACGTGTAGAAGTGACTTCTGGTGAGCCAGTGGAGGATTTCTCAGGTTTTTCCCTCAAAATAGAATTGAACTGTGTAGTCAAGTCTTTCTCATGCAGACTGCACTCAATCCAAGCGAGTATGACTTACCCCTGGCAGTAATTTAAGGATTCATTCATGCTTTTTTTCTATAATGTCTATTTTATCTTCTCTTCATTGGTTGGGAAATATGTGCTTTTCCTATTAAATTTAACACTGCAAATTATAGTTCACCAGAGGCCAACTGTCCTTCTGTGAGTTGCATAATGGATACATCAGCATAATCTTCAATAACTAACAGTCAAATTATGCATTTATACATGAAAACTAATATGAAGAATTTTATATTTATTTAAATGTATGGTATTTATTTTTAAATTAGCTATATTTAACATTTTACATGTACATTTATAACATTTTAACAATACTATGAATATATATTTTAGTTTTTTAGTAGGTAATGCTTTGCTGTTCATTGGTACAGTGTTTATTGGAACTCAGAGCTTATTTCTCTATAGTAACTGTGCTCTTTTTAAAACAGCATTTTGTAGAAATATTCCTCCAAAATCATCACAAAGATATCTTAGTACTGTTATAGCACTTATATCATATTGTAACTTCCAGTTTTCTGGTTTGCTTCCTTAGAATTTAGAAGCAATATAATCACCCTTGAGTTGCTCAAATCTTTTCAAATGTTGGCTACAAGTCCATGGTAATTTATTTAGCTTATAATCTAATAGGTTAAATAATTAATTAATAGGTTAATTAATTAATAGAATAACCATTATTCTATTAATTTAATAGAATGAGTTAATATTCTAGAAGCAGAGGACAATACAAGACAAGAAAGAATTTTTTTCTAATTATGAATTGGGTGCGTGCCCAAGGCTAGGCACTTCTCACCTCCATTTTGTCACCTTTTCCTCTGTTTTTAGTTCTTTAAATGCACATTCACAGATCTTAAAGACATAGTAATAGTAAAGCAATCACTAAGTTAGTTTAAATAAGTATACATAACAATAGAGATACAGATTCATCTTCAGAAAGCCTCAATAAATATAAATAAAGCTAAACTTCATGGAATCATTGCCAGGGTGAGTATAAAATATTTTTTACAGTTCAGGACAAATTGTTTTTGGCAAGTAAATTCCCACTGTTGACTAAACAGTTGTCTTATTAGGCCTTATTCTCTTTTAAACACTAAGAAGACACATTCAGTTAAGTATTTCACATTAACTTTTTAGAACAGAAATGTTGGGGACACTAAAAGAGGGGAGACAGCTTGAGGATGGTTAAAAATGCTCAGTAGGGACTGTTTAAAAGTTTGATATTCATGCAGCAGTGCTTTAAGACTAAAATATTCTGAAAATGTGGCATCAGTCCATGAATATGGTTGTCAGAAGAGACTCTGGGTCTGCTTTTATTCTCAGCTTCTTTATCTATTAAACAGGGCAGCTGGTAGTAGCTATGTCATAGGGCAATGATGAAGACTAGATGAGATGTATGTAAATGGCTTAGCACCTAAGAAATGATCAATAAATGATCATTTATATTAGCTATTTTTATACCAACAATAAATATAATCATAGGTACTGGAAATTAATATGATGGGACCAAAAAGAAATGGCAAAGAAATAATTGCATTAATGAAAAGAATTTTAGTGTGGCTCAAATATCATACAATGTTCCCTTTATTTGCTAATAAGGAGATTTAAGCAGCAGAAATCTAAAAGTAAAAATCAAATTTAGGGGAAAAGGTCTTATGAATCTTGAGGTAATATCGAAATTAAAGAAAATAAAAAGACTAACATAATGTGTGGTTAAAAATACAAACAAAATTACTGAAATTCAGAATTTACAACCTGTCAAGGTTGACATTAACTGTGGCTGCTCCCTATAGTAAATAGCAGGTATACATATGGCTAAGGTGTTTAAAAAGAAATATTCCTTCATAGTGATGATGTAAATGGATCTGGAAACTGAAAGATGAAATGTGTAGATCAGATGGCCTTATATAAATTACTAAGAAAACAAATGAATTTGGATATGATGGAGAAATGAAGAAATGAATTATGTTTAAGTCTTACAGCAGCAATTGAAATAAATGCTTGAGAATTTTTTTTTTTTTTGCCCTAAGCAGAAAGATTGAGTTGTCACAGCTAGAATAAAAACAGGCATCCCACATTACTTGAAAGCATTTTATTGCCAGACCAGTCTTAGTGGCTCTGAGAAAGCCCCTGTGACAAGTCTCAGGTGTTACTGTCCCTCTCTTATGCACCACTGCTGAGGACAAGTTTCACCAATTATTGCATGGTGTTAATAATGTTCTGTCCCCAAACCAGTCACACCTTCTTAGGCTCTCTCACAGCTTGTCCAATTCAGCCAGCCTCCCAGCCTTCAGGTAGTTTGTGTGTACCTGCTGTGTACTTTTGTACATCACAGTTATGAAGAGAAATAAGACTAGATTTTAAAACCTAGATGATTGAACTAG